CTTAATTCATATTTGTGTGGTTAGTAGTTTACATTTGCTCTTGACTATCATGCACTTATATCTAATTCTTGTGAAGCAAATGCATACAAATATTGTTTTATATTGCCATATTCATTCTTATCAATTCTATGTAACTTTTAAATAGGGGGAGCAATCCCTATTTATTTTTGTACTCACCCATGCTTATAGGTAGGTGGAGCTTTAGCTCTCTTCTTGTTATTTTCCACATTCTAATGTTGCCAAAGGTGGAGAAAATTGTGAGTATATTATGGTTTTTATTGGTTTATTGGTTATATATATATATTGAGAAATTATTTGTCATCATAAAAAAGGAGGAGAATGTTAGGACTCATGTTTATGAGCCTACTCTCTAATCTTGTTTTGATGATTTAACAAACAATTTGTAACTGTGTTTTCTAGTGTTTGGTTTGTATTTAATATATCCAGGTTGAAAGATTTAAGAACTATATTAAAAAAGAAGCCAATACAAATCAAGTCAAGATTCAAGATCAAGCTTCACGTGCAATCAACTTGGTATATTAGTTTATGATTTATATAATGTGTGTAGATACTTTAAGCTCAATATTATATACACACAAAAATACTTGATTTTATCATAATATTAGTATTTTTTATAAAATATCATGTTATTAGCTTATGGACTAAACAAATTGTATATACCGTTTATTAAGTCTATAAAAGCAATTCAAAAGTTTTCAAAACATGGTTTAAGTCAAAAATCAAAAATCAAGTAGTTTAAATATACATACATTTACAAGTTTTAAAAAATAAAGAGATTTTACAAACGGTGAATGATATTTGAAAATTTTCTTTAGTAACATGTTTATTTTCATGTTTATAAACATTTTCCCAAAATTTACAATTTTTATAATTTATTTGATATTTTTAAAGAGGGTTTAAAATTGACTTTTACTGTTCATACATGTTTGTGTGCACGTTATCAGTCGACTCATGATAGTGTTCAGTTTACTAATGAAGTGAAGCCGAATGACTGCTTTTGTCTGCTGAGTCAACTGATAACACATCAGTCGACCGATGAAGGCATCAGTCGACTGATGACTGTTATCAGTTAACTAATAACGTATCTGTTGCACAATAACAGTTATTTTCTAGATTTTGTTGTTTTTGATGTTTTTATTATTTTTTGCTGGGTTCTTGGGCTTAGCTCTTGTAACCTATATACCCCTTTGCCTTAAACACTCATACTACGTAAGAAAGTTTTAAAACAAGTTTTACAAGTGTTGAAGGGTGTTTAAGTGCTTGTTTCAAGTTTATTTTTGTGTGAAGAAGTTTTCATAAAGAAGATGCTTACATTTTCGGTTGAGGAATACAACCTCATCTCCTCATCTACATCACTTTGTAATTTTTGAGAAGTTTTTTAAACTAAATTATCTAGCTTGTTTATTCTTAAAATTGTCATATTTACATTTGCTAGAATAATTTGAGTTTGATTTTATTTATACTCATTTATCACACACATCCCTATTAAGCTTTTAGTATTTCATACACTATATATTTGGGTTATGATGAGTGATACTTTGAGTGTGAGCTTAATTTAGTTCTCATCTTGTTAGAGAATAAAATCTTTTATTTGAGCTTTATTGTGAGGATCATATTGTAATACACAAGTACACTGAGAGGAGTGTGTGGTGAGAGACGTGGTTAATTCCAATAGGTGTGACGTCGGTAGTAAAGCCTAGGGAGAGGTTGTAAATCCGAGTACTTGAGGAAGATGACACTGGCTAGGCTAACACTTAGAGGGTATAGTGTGTGATTACATTGTGTGTGTTCTAAATGTTTGTCGGTAAGCGTTAAAAACTGATTGTGAATGTTTTTAGTGATCGTTGAAAACCAGTTGTGAACATTTTTGGTGATTGTGGAAAATCGATTGTGATAGTGGAGTTCTCCTCGGGAGTGGGGAGCGGAGATGTAGGTCAAGAGTGGCCGAACTCTGTGATTATATCGTGTGTTTGATTGTCTTATTGTGCACTATATCTTTTACATTTTTGTTCATGTTTATATCGCCCTTGTTTTAATCACATATCCTTGCTCATTAGTTTGTTGAATATCATACTTGCTAGGATATAATTGTTAATAAGTTTTATACATCATTAACATCAGATTAGATTAGCAAATATCCTATTCACCCCCCTTAGGGTAATTTCACTTCGGGGGTAATTTCACTTCGGTCGACCGGTGTCAACCATTCGGTTGACCGGCCAGAGCATGTTCTTCCGTTTCCTAATTTCTTCTATTTTCCTGCTTTTGACTTCTTTCGTCGCCACTAACGGATCCACCCACGCCTCTATTCTCACGCTACCATGAGAATCATCTATCCTTAAGCTCCCATGAGGATTGCTAAGCTCCCAAAGTAAAGAGAAGATACACCTGTATCATGGCACCCCCTTTAGGAACTTGAAGTCCCGTTTAAGTTAGAACTTTAGCTAAGGAAACTCTCCAACTCCTCCTTCTTTGTTGAACCACTTGGCATTGCTAGGAACCTGACCTTGATGTTCAACTAGAAATGACTCCTTTGTTCCCTGTCTAGTCGTAGTCACATTTCGCTCCAAAATGCAATCCTCTTTCAGCGGCTCTTTTCTATCAAACCAAAAATTTTTAATATGTGGCAAGATTACCTTGTCGTCTCCTTCATCATCTAGCAATGAAGGCTCGAACAACTTCAAATACTCAGCATTGATCACCAAATACATGCCTAAGTAAGGTGGCAAATCCAGCTTGAAGGCATTATCACCGATCTGATCGAGAAATCAAAACGAACCATATCATATTGGCTTCAACTTCTTTTCTTCTCCCTTTAGTCGCTCCTTTCTTAATTTCAACCACACCATGTCACCTTTGTCAAAATTATAAGGAACTCGATACTGATCATGTTTTGTCTTGTATTTCGCTTGTGACTTCTTCAACGAAGCTTCAACTGTAGCGTGAATCTATGCAATTTTCTCCAGAAATCCTTGAGCCCGTTGTCTTTCACTCTGTTTTTTGTCGTCAGTCATAGCTTCACTAGAGAATACGAAGTCGAATGGACTTGGAGGTGAAAATCTGTAACACGTCTCAAATGGTGATTTTTTTTCTCGAAGATCCATGAATAGCTCAATTGAATGCAAACTAAAGATATGGTAAACTCTCATCTCAAGTCTTAGAATGCCTAGAATTATACCCCCGCAACATGTGAACCATAGTCCGGTTGACTACTTCTGTTTGCCCATATATTTGTGGATGAAAGGTCATGCTCTTCTTCAATTTAGTATCCATCAAACTCCACAAAGAATCCCAAAAGTACCCGATAAACCGGCTATCCCGATCCAAAATAATCAAACTCAGTAACCCAAAGTGTTTTCACATGTGCTCAAAGAACAACTACGCTGCACCCGCTCCCATCACGATATTCTTGCAAGAAATCAAGATCACCATCTTACTGAACCGGTCCACCATAACGTATAAGTAATCATACCCGTGCTTGGTCGTTAGCAACCCTCTTAAGAAATCCATAGAAATGCTCTCCCACGGTCTAGAAGGCACTGGTAATGGTAGACACAATCCCCTCGATCTTCCTGTTAGAAGGCTTCGAAATGCAATATAAATTACACCCCCAACATATTTGGTAACATCCTCTAACATCTTTGGCCAAAAGACATGGCGTCGTAGATTGAGAAGCGTCTTCTAAATCCCAAAATGACCTTGCACATGTGATGTATGTGCCTCTCTAAATTATTGAAACCGATCGTCATCCTTCGGAATGCAAAGTGATGTCCCATGATATAACAAACCATCTGCCCCGAGCTTATACTCCCCCTTTCGACTAGCCTTCACCTGCTCGAACACATTGCCGAAGTCTCTGCTGGATGTGTACATCTGCATATACTACAAAGGAACCAAGGGCTGAATACGCGTCGCCACCAACAAAGCTCTCACTGGCGGTCGAGATAGCATATCAGCAAACTTGTTAGTTGCCCCCTTCTTGTACCTAACGATGATGTTGAAGCCATCAGATAGGACATCCACTTCATGTGTTGTGTCTGTTGTAGCTTCGTCTGGGCATGTAGAAACTCTAATGATGGCACCTACCAAGCATTTAATGTGACGCCAACATGATGTCAGGGGGTTCGAGGTTGATGTCATCTTTTGACTTGTAGTTAGGGGTGTCGAGAAGTAAAACCTTTCGAGTCGACCCCGCAAGGTGTCGAATAACTGATCGAATAGGCTCGTAGGGAGTCGTCTTCGACAAGAGGACCAACAAATACCGTTCCTCGAGTCGACCTAAGGAGATGTCAACTCGACAAGTCAGCTAAGTTAGGACTTAGCGATCATGATCGTCAATTAGATTTGAGTGGTGCATGAGGGGGACACATTTTCGTTACTGGCAAATGGCCACATTTTGGCAACTGAAATTACCATAACATCTACATTAGGTTAAAATCATATTAGTATTTTGATAGAAGAATACAGCACTTATCAGAAGCACATACAATCTAACTACTATTTTATAAAAGGGTTATATATATAACAAAACCACCCCTCAAATCAATAACTTCGTAAAAAAATACATCTTAGATCAACAAATCATCACCTTGGTGCTAAAATTTTGGCTATTTTGTCGATAGTTTTTACATTATGATTACAAACTAGCTTATAAATTTGATGATTAATTGCTTTGAGGGTAATTTTTTTCAAAATTGATGATTTGAGGGGTAGTTTTGCAAATATTAAGAATGGAGGGTATTTTTGCAAATACACATGATAAAAGGTGTATACATGCAAATAGCCCTTCATAAAATTGCGGTTAAAGACGCTTTTTCTCTTCCCTCTGAAGAACCAAAACGGGAATGCAACATGACAAAGAAACGAACTTCTCTCTCTCTCCATCTCTAAATCTTCACTTATCACGTATCTCCGAAAAAACTTTGAAATAGATTATTCCTTATCCAATCAAACATGTTTACCTTTGAGCTTGCCTTACTTGCAACCTCGGTTGAACCCACACAAAAGAACTCCTCCTTCTCAACCCAACTCGAAAAACAACTTGAACTCCAAGCCAAACAATCTCCTCTTTGGATTCTCCTCTACTAATATTAATACTCCTATCTCCCTAACAAAAATATTACATTGATTGAAAATGGGAGAGATTGTGTTCTTCGACGTCGAGACAACAGTGCCAACGGTGACTGGGCAGCGATTTTGGGTGGTAGAGTTTGGAGCCATCGTAGTTTGTCCCAGAAAACTTGTTGAGATTGAGAGCTATTGTACGCTTATCAGACCTAATGATATCTCTGCGGTTGGAGCGAAGAGGTTCAGTGGTATTACAAGAGAGGCCGTGGCTGAGGCTCCGAGGTTTGAGGAGGTGGCTGATAAGATTTTCGGAGTTTTGAATGGTGAGTGAGTTTGTTGGATGTTAACATATATGCAATTGTGGTAAAATTTTGTTAGTTTAATGTCTAAACCCTGAAACTATAGAGATATCGTTTTACATTCATCGGACTCGAAACTGATTATTCTGGCACCAGAAGTTTCTTTAATTCGTCGAAACCCCAAAATCAAGCACGCAGAGAATTGTAATTTTATACTCTAATGCGACCACGACACATGTAATTTTGCAGGGAGAGTGTGGGCAGGGCATAACATTCAGAGATTTGATTGTCATCGGATTAAGGAGGCGTTTGCTGATATCGGTCGACCGGCACCTGAGCCTATTGGAGTGATTGACTCCTTATCTGTGCTTGGGCAAGGATTTGGTAGGAGAGCAGGTGACCTCAAGGTAATGATATGATTTAGCCTGTTTATTTCTTACCTTGTTGATTCATGTGAAAGAATTAAAAAATAAATAAATTTTGGTTACTAGACCCTTTAGATGAATTATTCACATGATTTTCCATTGACACGATTTAAATGAAAAGAAATATTTGGGTCTATATCATCCCTTTAGCGGGGAAGTATTATCTCATGTGAGTATGAATTACAATTAATCGTAAGAAATTAATACTAAATTGTCACGAGGTAACATTTTTTAATGCGATATATCAGCAATATCACAAGCTAAAACTCCTCCTAGTCTTCAATTTTGAGAAACTAATATGTAATTCCTCCTCAGATGGCAACTTTGGCTTCATATTTTGGTCTCGGGCGACAAAAACACAGGTAACACTTGCAGAATTTGCTCTTTACTTAAAGCAGTTAAACATATATATACCCATTGAGATTTTCCACTGTTATTTCTTGCAGAAGTCTGGATGATGTCCGGATGAACTTGGAAGTCCTCAAACATTGTGCAACTGTGTTATTCTTGGTACATAGCCATCAACTAACCAAAACTATGACTCAAATTAAAAATATAAAACCTATACATATTTCATGTTCTAATGTGTTTCATTCATGTTACGTTATATCCATTCCAGGAGTCCAGCCTTCCAAATATACTTTCTAACAACAGAAACCTGGGAAATATGAGCATGATTACAAGGAGCAGAGCCAATGAGAAATCATGTAGAGAAGAAGCCAGCAAAAAATCGCCTCCCGTGAACTTTGGAACCACCAGAGCAGTTCCTTACCAAAGGAACAGATTGGGGAAGGTACCAATTCATTGTTGTATATCATTTATTGTACATATTTATATGTTTATGATGATTAATTTTGTCAAAGAAATTGATATTTTTTTTCTTTTATAAGGTGGTGGAGAGAGCAAGGGAAGCATTGCGAGGATCTCAGGGAGCAAGGCCAATAAATAGCATCCTAAGGCACTCGCGCTCGCTATTGAGATGATAATGAAATTAGAGGCAGAAGAGTAATAGAAGATATATAATCCTCAGATTCTAAGGCTCTTGAGGAGAGTTTTAACAAGGATCCTCAAGATGATAGTTCCGCTGTATCTGATTGTATTCTTTTCTTACTCATTTTTGCTTCCACCTCTATTGTCAATGAATTACTTGTACATATAAACGAGGTTAACTATATCCATAAATTGTCAGTAATAAAAAATTTGGGAAGCAAACGTTTAATTATACAGGTACGCTAATATGATCTCGACTTATGTTCTTGTATTAGTTTTGGTAAAATATCTTGCTCTAGAAAATACCTTTCTATTCTAAACTAGAAAATTAAGTAGTATCAAACACATAGCCTGATCGTTGATCTCAGTAATGGTTCCATGAAATAATCGATCAATATATCAAAATCGTAGACCGAAATTGAATTACTATTATCCCAAATCATCCTAAGTTTTCATATAAACAATGCCTATCAGCTAAATACGTACATGAATAACTTCTGAATGTTGATAAAACAACAAGAGAAGCACAACTCAACAATATGTAACTAAATCAATAACTGCACAATACATTTGGTATATCTCAATAAAAGTTGTAAACTTAATTAATTGCTTAATTGGAAGAACGAGCTTGGAGACGAATAGGAAAGCCTATTTCTAGTGCAGGCGAAGGATCAATAACAATCTTCTCATCAGGAATCACCAGCTCCCAGTTGGACTTGTTCACAATATTATGCAAGAACACAAGTACCTGCATTCTAACGGAACGAAAGAGAGTGGAACGGGTCCGTTTCTTTCAAACCTAGACGGATCAAATTTCTCAGGTTCCGGAAAATAGTCAGGGTTCCTGTGTTTTGTTTATGTTCCAGTAAATATTACTCTTTAGTAAATTTGAAAACATAAAGTTTATGCAAGAACACAAGTTGAAGCCAATGTTTTGTACTACCTTTACAGCCTTTGGGAATGTCGAAACCTGCGTAGTTGATGGAAGCAATGGCCTCCCTGAATCCTTCATGAACTGGAGAAGCAATTCTAAGAACCTCTCTTACCACATTCCATGAATATATACTTTGTTGGCGCTTGTGGTTAAATCTGGAATAAAACAGATAAATATGTTAGAGAGTTGAAGTGCTGTATTTTAAAACTTTTTCAAGTTTAGCTACTGTGTGTTTATAAAATGTTATGCTTAAAGCAATATTTGGCCTACTCCGGTGCAAAGATCCCAAGGCCAAACTGCTTTCAGGAACAGCAGTACAGTACACTGGTGTGCACCAACCATGTATTGTCAAGATCTCCTGTTTGGAGGGGAAATTTATAATAAGAAAATGAAAGAATTGAATGTTTTATTCCCTCTAATTGCTAAGAAAAAGAATGTTTACAACTCTCTTAATCTCGATTACAATTTTAATTCCCGATTACAAAAGAGAAGAGAATTGATGTAAATTCTCTCCTTTGTTTAATTCTGGGTTATTCACCGTAGCGATGGAGTGCCTCCCTCGAATGCTCGCGTCGAGTTTACTCTCCGTCGACGATCCGAACACCTCGCGTCGTTGGAACGTGGTTAATTCCTCTCGATTTGACGTAGAGGAGAATTTGCGTGGCAAGTTTGAAACTCTTGACGAGTTGATAACTCAAAGTGAGTTTAAACTCTTGAAAAAGAGTTGATTTGAACCGAAAATCAGTTAATAAGCCAATGATGAAAGCTCCAAGGATTGCTCCAAAAGACGAATGTTGATCTCTCATTTGTGCAGTTTTGATCTCCAAGATTCCTGATCGAAGATCCCCTTAACTCAGCAGAGCTTTTCACCATTTATAGGGTTTTTTAGGGGTGTAATCACCCACTAAACTCTCTCCTTAATGGGGTATAACCGACTCCAGTTCATGGAAAACGGTTTTGAAACCGTTCAAAGATTTAAGGGGTGTAATCTTTCCCCTAAAATCTCTCCATAATAGGGTGTAACTGACTTCATTAAGTGGAGATACGGTTTTAAAACCGCTCAGGTTCTGTTTGAACCAGTCAAATGCAGAAAACGTGGGTCCGACCCCTGCGTTTTGATGTTATAATGTAGAGAGGACCTCTGCGTTTTGATGTTGAAACGCAGGGAGGACCTCCGCGTTTTGATATTGTAACGCAGGTCCAACCACTGCGTTTTGATGTTGTAACGTAAGGAGGGCATCTGTGTTTTGATGTTACAACACAGAGAGGGCCTCTGCGTTTTGATGTTGCAACGCAAGTCCGACCCGTGCGTTTTGATATTGTAACACATGGAGGACCTCTGCATTTTGAGTCTGAGACGCAAAGGTAAGCTCTGTGTCTTGATTTGAAGAGACAGTTAATTTGTAGTCTTTTTCGCTAGAGCGTTGCAAAGACCGTCATCTTATAATTTTCATCTTGGCTCCTTGAAAATATAAGAGTCTTCACATTGTAACTCCCGATATTGATTATGAAGGCTGCTGAACTAAAGCTTTCATCAGTTATTGTAAAGTTCGTCAAATTATAATCTTCATCGATCTACGTAAAAGTCTTCAAATTATAGTATTTTGGAAGTCATAAAATTATAACTTTTATCATCGTGTTTGATGGAGATCAGCTATCTGCAGTAATTTTTAGATAGCCTACATCTCCTCGATCTATAAGGCAAAGATCTCCTCGATCTATCAAACCTTTTGGTTCAAAACATTTTGGTTCAGACAAAAATCTCATCGATCTAGTAAAACCTTTCGGTTCAAAACCTTTCGGTTCAGGCAAAAGATCTTTTGATCTTAAACAACCTTTTGGTTCAAAACCTTTCGGTTCAGGCAAAAGATCTTATGAACTTAAGCAACCTTTCGGTTCAGGGCTATGTTCCTTCAGGCACAGATTAAAGCTTGCACACTTTCAGATTCTGCAGCAGCAGCATAACAGCACAAAAGAGATTTTTTCATATCTCTTTTTTTCGTATCACTTTTTTCATATCTCCAAGAGCTCCCCAAGAGGCACTATATATAGGCCTCTAAGACCAGCTCAAAGGTCACCTACATTTAATTTGACTGTTATAAACATAAAGATAATTATGATAATTATGTTTGTAACAACAAATAACATAAATATTGTAACTGCTGCATGCACTAACGTCAGAACACGAGGGTCGCAATCCTGTGCAACATGAGGGTTGCGTATAGTCTCGCGCGAACGCGAAGGTCACACTTTCATTCGAATGTGAGGCTCGCCAGCATGCTGCAAAGTAGTCCTGCGATGCCGCCTGCATGGCGCTAAAGGACGTTACCTAACCCTAATGCTTCCGTGCGAAGTACAAATTGCGACTAATAAAGAACCACATAGGGACTCAGCCCGATTAGCCACTAGAACTTATGAGGGATTAATTAAATAAAAATAGATTCTTGTTTTGCTATTGCGCAAGCCCTCGAACACATGACCTGTTGAGTGAGAGACCTGTCCATCCGGGCCGGGCGCGGCGCTGACAAAACCAGAGCCCGGACGCCGGGTACACCCGGCCGGGTCTGGGCCGGCCCCGGGTTTTTTAATTTTAATGTTTATTAAATTTTAAAAAAAATAAAACATATAAATTAAAAAAATGGACATAAATTTTTTAAATTAATTGAAATGCCCAAAAATTACAAGTACAAAAAATTATAGAAATAAAAGATGATAAAAATTAAATTTTTTATTAATAATCATGTCATTCATAATATTATACATAAACAAATTGTATTATACATAAACATATATATAATATATATATATATATATATATATATATATATATATATATATATATATATATATAAGGGTACCCACTGTATACTTATATATACTTATATACTAAAGAGAGAGAGAGAGTATAAATATTTATATATAGAGAGAGTATACACTACACGTACACATATATAAGAGAGAGCATACTTATACATATATATAATTATATAAGAGATATATACATTATAAGAGAGAATATACTTATATTTATATATACTTATATAACTAAGTAGCCCAAAATATTCATGTCATTCAATATATGTATATGTTATATATTATATATAATATATATATATATATATATATATATATATAATATATATTATATATATATATATATATATATATCATATATATATATGTATATATGTATATAATATAGTAATATATATATAACACTGACACACAATATAACATATATTATACGTAAAGAAATTGCAAAATACTTATAGTAATTACATAAAAAATTGTATTATACATAAACACACACACAGTCTCACACACACACACACACACACACACACACACACACACACACACACACACACACACGCACACACACACACATTATAGTATATATATATATATATATATATATATATATATATATATATATATATATAATAAATATATATAATAATATATATATATATATATAATATATATATAATATATATATATATATATATTTTTTTTGAAAATAATATATATATATATATATATATATATATATATATATATATATATATATATATTATATATATATATATATATATATAAGAGTATAAATATATTATTCAACCAATGATTAAGAGTTATGGACAGTTGTTGCAGAAAGTTTTTGTTAGGGGTGATCGTTTATATTCAAGAGTTGGAGTCAAGAGTCAGCTATAGATGTCTGTAGGGGTGTCCAAACGGGCCAGGCCTGCCTGGCCCTGAAAACCGAGCTCGGGTCGGGCAAAACCGGAGCCCGGACCCGGGCCGGGCCAGGCATCGGGTCGGGCCGAGTTTATTTTTTTGAATTTTTTTAAGTTTTTCTTTTCCTTTCAATTTTTAACAAAAAATTACACAAATTTTTAAAAACAATGATATTATTAATCACTTGAAATTACATAAATTACAAATACAAAAAATTATTAAAATTAAAATGATAACAATAACTTCTTTATTAATAATTAGTAAATTATTTATAATTATAAATTTATTTTGGAATTCATCGCATCACAATAGATGAGTACATCCCAACTAGGTTGGAATCTACTCACCTATATCACTATCATTTGTAACTATTTTTAAAATAATTTATTATAAATTTTTAGCTAAGAAATAAAAATTATAATTTGATGAATATTGTATACTTTTTATATCTATCTGCTAGTCTTAAATATCAGCTATCTAATCGATGTCTTGGGTTCTTTTCTCGTACCTCCACCAATCTTTTAAGCACATCACCGCCTGT